AAAGTATATTTACTGATATTTACCGGTCCTTTAACCATTACGTCAATTTAGTTAATTTCTTGCAAAAGTACCATTGCGATCTCAGTAATTATAAAACAAGAAACATAAAATGGATTGTGTGTGTGTGTGTGTTTGTTAATTTACATTTAATTTAATTTGCAGTTAATAATTACATCTTAATTTAATTTAATTTAAATNCGGTCCTTTAACCATTACGTCAATTTAGTTAATTTCTTGCAAAAGTACCATTGCGATCTCAGTAATTATAAAACAAGAAACATAAAATGGATTGTGTGTGTGTGTGTGTTTGTTAATTTACATTTAATTTAATTTGCAGTTAATAATTACATCTTAATTTAATTTAATTTAAATTACATCTTAATTTAATTTAATTTAAATTACATCTTAATTTAATTTAAGTTATATACATGTTAATTTTAATGCAAAAAGCAAAACAGTATATTGCAGTGATTTTGTTAATTTTTGCAATTAGTTTACGATTTAACACTAAGTGTATGGTACACTAAGAGCAGCTGTTTAATATTAGTCCATAAAAATAACAGCTAAATTAAGAATCAACAAGAACGATCTTTGCATTAAAGTTAGCATTCATTCTCGACGTACAAGGTGATGTAATTCAGTTATAAAGCGCAAACACCTCTTCGTTCAGAATTGCTGAGACACGAAGGCAACTTTCGTAACTCAGCTCTATGATTAATTCGCTGAACGGTAATCCTGGAATTACATCCACATACTTTCATCGTTCGCCATAGTTTCATATTACGAAGTTTCCACATTTTCGATACGTTTGCAATCAGAACTTGCTTAAAAGTTCGTTCATTATTAATGTCGGTCCACTGATTGCCAAGTGCGTCCATAATTCCAACAATTCTCCACTGACACGAAACTTAAATGTCATATGTACCAGTTCGCAGCATGATAATTTTAAACTGCTATCCGCAAAATGCATTTTACAAAGCTTAATATCGAATGAAAATATACGTATTTTTGTTTTCAAAGCATCAGTTAAATTAAACATTAAATTCTCGCATTGTTATATCAAAATTATCACGTTGTCTGTACTGTTTGTATGTTAAAATAACAGGAAAAGTTAAAATTTTACTTTTCATTGACGTAATCAACTTATTGTTTTATGCAATTCCAGAGAGTATTTAAGTGCGTCTATTCAGCGTTGCAGTTATTATTTTATCTATTATGATTATCATCTAATATGATCAGCGGTATTGTGACAGTAATTAATAAAAATTGACGAAGTATGACTTCGTTGAAGAAGATTTCTTTTACGATCCCAACAGATCATCCATAAGTATAATTTGTATGACAAGACTGCGGATTTTATGCATTTATAATTTAATATTATAATCGAATAAAATTATTAAAGGAAGAATAATTTCATAAAGATCTGGAGTCTATTCATGAACGTGTTAAACAATGACCTGAAATTTTCTGCGAACAATTAATGATAAGATCACACAATATGAAGTATCAGATTTATCAAAGAGACATGAGAGTTATGTTCTTAATACAAGTGACTTTATCTTTTCGATGTTCTGTAAGTAACTATCGGTGTTTTAACAACCACAATATTCGAAGTTCTTCCAGAAGGGATTACAAAGTTTAAGGGGAATTGCCTTCCACCGGTATCTGGTGGCGGACATTATCAACAAGGATACACGATTTTCTGCAGAGTTTACTTTTTATTGCAGCTGACGACGGTTGCTGTGGGTCTTATATTAGTTCGAACAGATACGAATAATAACTGTTCCTTTCTCGACACGCATTCAAAAACAATTTATTTAAAAATTTATAAAAAGACAGAGAGTCGTGTTATTGTAATAATTACGTTTTCAATTGAACTGAACAATTTCAGAAATTTACAACGTTCAACGAACATTTTAAAATCCGATATTTCACATTGCTCGATCCAATACATTTTGAACTTTTCGAAATTCTTAATAAAGGAAGTTGCATGTTATATATTACATATACATTTGTGCTTAGTTATTAACCCTCTGACTGCGGTTAACAGATTATTGTGACGGAGTGTACTCAATTCTTGGCAGTTAAATGAATTGAATCCCTGTTACACTAACAGAAAAACTCTAATAGGTTTATTAGAATAATAACAGAGTAATATAATAATAACTGAAAGAATAATAGAAAGACTAATAGGTTTATGAGAATTATCTTCAAAAATATGTTTTGAAAATTGATGAATAAAACTGAGTGACTGTACATAGACTGTGGATTTTTATGCAGTCTAAAAATATTTAGCTTGAATTTTAAAAAACCAGAATTACTTAAAGTTTTATTTCTCCTTTCGATAATTTTATTAAGTTTCTAATATCCTCACTATTTTGTATTCCATTTAAACAGTTTTGTCATAAATGCATCAAATCTGCAGTATGATAAACATTATAAATTACACAGTCCTGGAATATATATGGACATATTTTAAAAAGGAATAACAAAATTAACAAATGATTACCAAATGATAAACAAATGATTTTAATTGCAACTTTTGCAAAAATCTGTCAACACGTTGCCCAGCAAACTAGTGCTTCTAACATCTTAACAAAATTCAACTCGTTTGATCCAATTTAAAAAAATGTATTCTCTTGTAAAGATGCATTTGATGCACTTGAAATATCGTGTAAAACCAGCCAGGGGATGATTCTACATGGCGAAATAAGTCGACAAAAACAGTAACATTTTTTCATTTAAGACTGTGTTTTCGAGAAAAATAAGTTTAAACTTATTTTTAAGTTTAAACTTATAAGAAGTGACGGGAAGTAGTATGTGATGGCGTCACTTGATTATTTTGCAACGTATTTTTTCATGAAAATGAAACCTTAAATGAAAAACTGTTACACTTTCTTTCGACTTATTTTTGTAAGTAAAATCATCCTCTGACCAGTTGTACCACGATTTTTCACCCACCCTGCATTTGTCCATGATTGTATCACACATTGCTAAATCTTTTCAGTACTTCTTATTCTTCCAAATTTTCAAATCAACTTATATCTATATATCCTTCTTGTAAAACAATCCAGACATTCTCTAGCAAATGATCGTCCTAGTATTAAATTTTCTCGTGAATTCGATAATAACATCGATTGCGATATCTTTTTAACAAGTAAAGGGTATCGCAAGCACAATTGGCAGAGAATGGACCACTAGACTTCGGATGTTTCAGGATAACTTTGTTTTCAGAGGTAGTGAGACTCCTGGAGGAAGAAGACCATGTCTAGTACAGGCGGAACGCGTCCTGCAGCGAAAATCTGAGGTCGAACGTAATGTTGTTACAAAGCGGCAACGAACAGGATGACTTTTTCCTGAAAATATCCTGGCGCTCGACCAACGATAGGGTTGGTTCAGCCAGAAATCGAACGCTAAATAATCAGCAGTCTTGCTCATCGAGATCATCCCGCGTGGGTAACCTCAATTTCCTTTACGACTGATGACAAAGAACTATTCCAAGGACTTGTGCGTAATCGAACGGGAAATCTCGAGCGACAACTGAGAGAACGTTCTTACAACTGTTTACGACGCAACGATTTTTTCAAACCGAAAACTTTCTTCCTGGTCGAAAATCCCTTGTGGAACTTATGGTTATACGAGGGTCAGTGAATTATACTTCTAAATCGTAATTTTAAAGAGGTACTCCTCTTATAGTTTGTGGTATTCTGTACAGTGCTAATATTAGTTAGGGTTGTGTTCAAAGATTCAACTCGATTGCATCAGTCGTATCCTGTATTGTGACATAGTAATCATTAGACTGTGGATTTTATGCATTTGTGATAAAAATAACTAGGTCGGATACCAGGCAATGAAGCCATCAGAAGAATTTAAAAACATTCATATGTTCTTCTCAATTTATTAAGATCATCGAAAGAAGAAATACATTTTTATTTAACCTCCGTTCCTTAAAATTGATTTAAATAATTTTTATTTTGCATAATACTCCGCAGTCTAATAATCACGAAGTGTCGTATAACAAATGCTGCCAAATCCGAAATTCGTCTTTCTTCACGATACTCACTACTAGATTGCAGATTTTATATTTTTAATAAACATTAACAGAAATAACAAAAAACAGTAAGAAAAAAGATTCGAAGCATTCTAGGCATTGTTATATTATTTTCAACCTGTGCATGTTACAGTATTTTTATATTTTTTTCGACTTGGTCAAAAACGTAATAAATGTCTAATTTGCTCGAGTTTATTGAAGTAAACAATTTTTATGCAAATTGAATGTTCTTTGTCGGTCGAAAGAGATATGTGTCTTCTTTTATTGCAGTTTTATTGTATCCATTTTTATGATTATTCTTAAATGTTGGATATTATTTAATAATAGTTTGACGACTTCAATCATTTTGGCCATACACGTATAACAATTCTTGTTTAGTGCACCTCTCGTCCATAAAAATAATTTACCCGCATGAATTTCAATGTTAGACGTATTTTTTTTATCGTAGTATACGAGTGACTAATGCAATTAAGGTGAAACTTACAATGCATCAACATTAGTACTGTTTCTGCAAGGTGTGTAAAATAAAGTGTTACAGCTATTTTTCTAGAATATAATGTAGACATTGACTTTGCTTTTTTTTTAATTAAAATGATGTAGGAGATCTAATTATTTGCACAGCAATTATCGGTTTACATTCTTAGATAAATTATTATTAAGTTTAATGAGAGTTTCATTATTATTTAAATCCGAATGTCACAATTTGAAACCCATCTTTTCTTCACAGCAGTTGTCTAAACAAAAATGTATCGCATATTAAAAGATTAGCCCCCTTGCTCCGTTTCATTAAAAAAAAATAAGGTCGATATCTCTATTGTATTTTTAAAAACAACTATAAATACTTTATTTTAGGGATGCAACTTACAATATTGACTGACCCTTGTACATACGTACAAACTCGACACAGCTTGAACGATTCGTCGAAGGTATTGCGCGCAATTAGGTATATGACTACCGGTCAGGCTTCCCATATCCGAACCGACAAGGAAACACAAATCACCGATTAAAAGAATTTTCTCATCTTCCCGATAATAGATTTGATTTATTTAAATAGAAATTTTGATATCTTGGCACTAGATTTAATTTATTATTCGTTGCTACTATTACATTTGCTGATTTTTTCAAAATCATCTTTACGTTGTGTGAATTCCCACAAGTAAATATATCAAAATTAAATTATCCGTTTCCTGCAGACTGTCTTTATTATCTCTGTTTAAGTTGCAAATAATTATCACATTGTGATTTTCATATTCTGATGAAAAATCTAATCTATTTTTATAATGTTCGCCGCAATGCAAGAACAAAATTGTATTACATCGTCTGTGAAGTATCATCCTCAAAAAAATCCCGTAATAAAGAGGCCAAAAATAACATGAAAAATGAATTCCAAAAATGTAAAAAGCAATCAAGAATGTGATGATGAGATTACTAGAGGAAAGAATTGCTCGTAAAATGAGATACAAATTATAATTTGTGTCTCGATTTTACTAATAATTGTAAAAATACAATATAGAATGTGATAACGACTGAACACTGTATTCAAACAAGGAAATACCATCAGCTAACATAACACATATGTAAAAACTTTTCTATTCAAATATACTAGAATTGTGTATTTGAAATAGAAAATATATTTACGATGTATACATTTTTTGCATCATATTTCGAGTTTTGTTTTATGATTGAAAAAGCACACAAAGACACAGTGAAATTCAAGGAAATAACTATTATATTTTATATAAAATTATTATCATTATAAAACAGAATTATTCACGTTACCTGATACATAAACATATTCAACACAGTTATTAACGCAAAATAGGATAGTTTTGTTAGTTTGTTTTTTTGTTGTTTTTCACATAACACAGTTTTCTGTAACTCAACGGTTTTGCAATTAATGAAAGATCAAACAAAGTCATTAAAAGAGATGATAAATATTTCAAGAATTGAAAAATGTATCGTTTTTGGTAAATAGACGGTTTCAGTTTGAGAAAGTCTGATATTAATTGTTTTGAATTACGATTGCTTTTACAAAAAACCAATGTTGAATAGACGAACTTTCGAATAGTGAATCGCATGGAGACAATGATATTCGAGCAACATTGCATCGTTCGGATAAGGGAAGCTCTTCCTCATATAGTCTTTATTTTTCTAATTACTCGATTAGTTGCTAACACGTAATACGATTGATACTTGTACATAGAACATTATCATTTTTTATTACGAAACAAGAATCTAACCTGTCCAAATGCAACTTTAGAAAATTCAAAAAAATATTTAGCACTTAAGCGACAGATGTAAGTAACGAAAATTGTAAAAAATATTTGTTATTGAATAAAAACAAACAGCTGTAAATAATAAGTATGTGTGAATAATGGATTCAC